GCCCGGATCAGGCTGGTGGGCTGCCACAGTGCACGTCATAGCCACTGGTTGTTCTGCCGTAAAGGTCGCTGGGCTTTTATATAGAGAGTCTAGCCATGTGCCACAGTGCCCATCTAGTCTCCTTGCTGTTAGAGCTTGGGCAGGGGATACCCACACTTCGCAGCACCAGTTATAGTCTCTGGTCATTTCCACATGAAACTCATCTCACCCATGATGTGGTTTTACTGTTGCAGTGACTTTCTAACTGTCTTGGAGCCTTAGGTTTCTCCAGTGATGCCTTGGGTATTAGCACTGAGGAGAATAAGGAAGTGAGTTGAGTCAATAAAACTCCAAGCCTTTTGTCTTCTTCTAGTGCTTTGCTGCCCATACTGTAGCTGGCAGCCACATGTGGCTGTTTAACACGTGAAATGTGGCTAATCACATTTAAAAATAAAAGTATCATAAAAATAAAGGCCATGTTGGGAACAACAAAGATGCTGAACATGGCATGTGATTTAGAGGGCAGGACAGAGAAAGGTGAGCAAAGACAGGAAAATGACAGGAACAGAAGTCAAATACCAGCACATCATTATTGGAGCCCTTAAGAACCAAAGAAATGGAACGGACAAAAATTTAAAGATATTAAGAAAATGCTGAAGAAATAAATGTACAGAATGAAAGGCACAGTGTCCCAGGTGAAACTCTGACAAAGAATGATCAACAATGAGACACAACCTAGTAAAGTTCTCTGATCCTATATAATAAAAGGCTAATATGCAAATCGACCAAACGGCAGAACAACCGGTTGCTATGGCGCACACTGACCACCAGGGGGCAGACGCTCAATGCAGGAGCTGCCCCCTGGTGGTCAGTGCACTCCCACAGGGGGAGCACTGCTCAGCCTGAAGCGTGGCTCACGGCTGGTGAGCGCAGCGGAGGTGGCGGGAGCCTCTCCTGCCTCTGCGGCAGCACTAAGGATGTCTGACTGACGGCAGGACCTCGCCCCCTCGAGTGCCCAAATGTCGTGCACTGGGCGTCTAGTTAAAAAAAGCATGTGGCTACCTACACAAAAAGTTGAAGTCCTAGAGAGGGAGAGGAGAGAAACAAATGCATACTTGCATGTTCCCGATAGGACTAAATTGCTACAGTACTTTATAAAATGAGGCAGCTTTTATTAAAATTAAAAATACCAGTCCTTTTAACCCAACAATTTTACTTTTGAGACTACTCCACAGAACACATAAAAGCACCAAAGGATATATGGACAAAAGCAATGTAGCATTGTAGGGGCAAAAAACTGGAAACAACCTGTCTACCTATAGGAGGATAATTACATTGTCAGTGGTGAATACATACTGT